AAATACAAAATTTTGATAAAATATTTCAATTATGTATGTATTTGAAAAACAAAAAAAAAATCTTCAAATGAAAGTTTTCTCCAAGGAAACCAATAATTTAAAATTTTACAAAGCCAGCGAAAAGTATATATGTGCTACAAAAATGTAGGCAGCAATGTTTTATTATGCGCTTGAGAGCACAACTACTTTGACACCTCATCGCTTACGTTTAGAAATAAATGCATATAAAATTCGTTGAACCTTTCCGTTATATTGTAGGCGTGCCGGTTGAATGAGTGATTAGTGAACGACATGCTTCGAACCCTTAAGATAATTGTAAATAACAGATCGCTATAGATCGCTATTCCTTAGATAGAGGGTTTTCTCACACTGATGACTTATTCTTGTTTTATTACATTTGATTTAATATTTTCTAAATAAGATTTGTAACCGAGAATGTTGCTAACTAAAGCCTATTCTCTAATATTGGGTTGTTCGGAAAGTATAATTTTTTTTTTTTTTTTTTTTTTTGGTTAAAATAAAAGACGCGTTCCTCAGAGTGAAGTTTCGCATCATCACGAAAGGTAGAATTCGAAAAAATTTAACGCCTCGGTGATCTCATCAATGAATGACTTTTTTTGCCGTGATTGGACACCCAGCGGGCCTTCCAAAATATGGTACATGTTCAAGATCTAATTATTGGTTCCGAATTTGGGCATTGACGTTTTGCCAGTACATCTTCTTCGTATGAAGAACGGGTAATATTTTTCTTGCTTGAACCACATTTTCATTTTTTCGATGGTAGAAAAATAAAATATGGCGAAAATGCTGCTGTTCACTTATCTCATATTTGAGAGGGCATCAACCAAGAACTCAATCAGTAGCATTAATCGAGCCTTGCTCCAGCTATCAAAATATATAGTGCTTAAGTGTGAAGTTGGCTGTAAGTGAAATACAATTAAATCCTGAGTTAGGAATGAAAAAGAAAAAACGAAATTACATTCCAAACTACCTAATATTTTTATGATACATTAGAAATGTTAAGATTTAGCGGCTTTTGCGATTAAGTGAATTTTGTCTAATGACATTTGAATAATAATTTCAAGTGCATCCACCCACAGTGTTCTTACTAGTTTTATTTAATGCATTTCGTAAGCAAAAAAAAAAATATGTGTTTAAGTAATGCAAAGGTACTACGAAACTTTCGATTAAATTTTGAGAAAGTTTCAAAATAGCGCATAACTAATACTATATTGTATTGTAAAATATCTTCTGGTTGTCTCGGAGTATCTTATGTTTATAGATTTTTTAAGATTGCGATACGGATCGCCCATATCAGACTCAGGACTTGTGCTGAGCAACTGAATAAAAACTTTTATTTAACAATTAATTAAATCATATTTTTGGTTATAGACTATAAAAAAAAACCAGGAGAGCTCTTTTTTTATATTGAAATCCTCTATTAAATCGAACCGATTACGATAAGTCGTTCGCTATATCAGTAGAATAGCTTTCAAGTTCAAACCAATAAACTTCTACCATATATGGGGAAAAAGTCTTTTTTTCTTTACTATAATTCTAGCAATATTAACTTTCAAATATATATATATATATATATATCTTATTTATTTATTTATTTATTTTTTTTTTTTTTTGTTTTCTATGCAAATTTTATTGATCAAAGTTTCCTTAGTCGCTTACAAATTTAGAAAAAAACGCATTTTACAATTTGAACAAAAAGGGTAAAAAAAAAAAAAAAAATGAGGAAAGAGAAGACAGGAAATTTATAAAGGAATTTTTAATTTTCATTTCACTTCTTTTCAATTTTCTTCTGTTTTTTTTTCGTCAGACATTATGTTATTCATTTATTTAGTCACTTTTTATCGATATCGATAATGTCGACATTATATTTCAATCTCATAGCTATAGCCGCTGAAGCAATCACCATAAGCAGGCAGCCAGCAATCAGTGCATATAGTAACCAAATGGTTATCTCGGTCATGCTCTCAGCGGAACAATTAAGTTGGCGGCAGACCAAATACAACACCGCTGCGGAGAATAAAGTAAATACTAGCGCTGGAAGGAAGTTCAGAATTACTATTACTACCGCTAAGACATCCGTAAATCGAAGACCAAAAGTGAAAGCGATAGCTAGCAGTAGAATGAGAACGAACATGCGATCCATGACGGATAACTATATTAATCGATTGAGATTGAAGCGATTCCGCAAATTTTTATATTGCTCTAAATTATTATTATATTAAGAACTTAACTTAAAGATACAGTGATATGAAAAAGTCACGAAAATAATGTTAAATTAAAAAAAAAAAAAAAAAAAAAAAAAAAAAAAAAAGGAAAAGAAAAAATTTTGAATTTTTCAAAAGACTTGAAAGAAAGTTTTTCCAAAGAAAACTAAATCAATTCATTGACAGGCAAAATTGAAAACAACAACAACAACAAAAACTCAATTGCAAAACAAATCTCACACAAAATCACATAATAGCTGTTGCATTGGGCACTGGGGCAACACACATACAATGCAACGAGAAGAAGTATTATTGTTATGATAAAGAAGTTCAATTGAATTAAAATTCATTGCGGATGGGAACAGAAGTAGAAGAGAACCTACATACATACACTGCGTACAATGCATCGGACATTATTAGAATTGAAAAGTTCAAAACGTTTACTAATCTTCCATCGTTCTCTCGGTGAGCTGAGTTAACTCATAACATAGCATAAGTAACATAATAAAAGAACTCAGTTCAAGTGTTCAAATGATAGAATGAATGAATGAATGAAAATTATTAATAATCTAAGGAATGCCCGCTTCGCCAATTTACAGTTCGACGATGATATCGAAATAGTCTTCAGCGCATCAGTCTTCATTGTGTAATTCGGAAATTATTCTTAAATGCTTTACGCTCGAACTCGAAAATTTTCGTTACATTATTCAAATGCATCTGACGGTTTCATTTATTTATTTATTTATTTATTTAGTTGTTTTTTTTTCTGTTTTTTACTATAACGTACATCCCACAACATTCGCAACAATCGACTACACATTAACTTTAAATCTTATCAGAAATTGACGGGTCACACGGACAGACGGCGACAAAACGGGTTACCCGAATTTGACGGGTGCCGTAAATTTGCCATTAAAAACACAAAGGCTTAATATGTTACAAATTTAACTGAGACCATTGATAACACAATCAAATGTACACCGCACTATAATTTCTTATCAGTCTTCCATTAACGATAGATGTCTCTAGGGCTTATCGTGAACACACTACCGTAAAGGCTTAATCCCACACAGAATGTGAAGGCGCACATTCAACACCCCCAGTGCAGATGGGAATTGTATATGGACACATCCCCCTATCTGGTGAGAGCAACGGCTCCGTCTTTCTTAGGGTCAGACACCAAGTAAAAGTTCTTTCTTGTGATTTGGGCAAGGCTAAAGCTGAAAGCTCTTAATAATCGTGCCATCACAAATAAAAGATAAGGAATAAATGCTCTTGGTCAAATCTTATGCCTTAGATCATATGAACGCTTGCTTCGGGGGCTCCTAATAACCGTGGAACCAAGAATAAGAGAAAAGGAATAAATGCCTCTGATCCAAGCTTACCTTAGATCAAATGAACGCTTGCTTCGGTGGCTCGTGATAACCGTGAAACCAAGAATAAAAGAGAAAGAATAAATGCCTTTGGTCATTCTTTGCCTTAGTGCAGCCAGAAACTCGGTACAGGATACAATCAGCAGATGAAACTGCGACACATACGCTTTGTAATCTCACTGGACGTGAAAACGAGTTTCTAAAACAAGCAGCAATATTAGTTAAGGTATAATACATTATTAGGCTGTCAGTGTTGCATTTTCGAGCTTTCATCTGGCAATTCACAGCACCACCTTAACCAAATTCCCGCAAATTCTTTATGCACAGCTAAGATCATTTTCGTTTTTCTGGTAATATCTTAGTCCATTACTTTTAACTTGGAGACTTCGGCATCAACGCTCCATACTCGGTCATCGCCCACGTAGAAGTGAACTTAAAAAGATTAAAAAGATTTCCAAAAGGAACAAAAAAACTTAGTTATATTAATCGTGCATTTTGCGTTTGCTTCTACAAAGCAAATTCCATTTCCATTAAAATGCATGAATAGTTCGACTTTAGTGGAAACCGATGCCAGAAGCTCAATATGCAATAGAAATAAGAACATAATGCTCAGAATTTTAACTGTACATGTTCTCCTCTAGCAAAAAGCTTCAAAACGTTGGCATTATTGAACTGAATTTTTAGTATCCTCGGTGTATGTGCCTAGACTGTTTTAATTCCCCCTCCTTTATCCCTTTCTTTTTCTTTTTCTTTTTCGTTTCAGTTTAAAATTTAATTTGATCAGAGCAATCTTCGAAAGCATTGCTCGAGTGTTCAACGATTTGCATGCCTTAAGATCAATAATAGTTAATAATAGCATATTATACCTTACCCCACTTATGGGAAAAGGGTATATTAACTTTGTGTGAATGTATGCAATAATCAGAAAGACTTGAGATAGATTCATCTTTAATTATACAGATTGAATCCGAGTAATTTTCTGAATCGATCCAAGCTTGTCTGTCCGTTTGTTCTTCTTGTTTTCTGGCATGCAAATCTGAAGGTCACAATCTTCGAGATGTTTTGATTATCGTTTCGTAAAGAAATGTTTTTTGGTCCAACGACGAACGCTCTTGCAAATGGTTCGGATCGATTTCATTTTTCGATTACTTTCCATATGATGGTTTATTTGGAAAAGATGTCATATGAGCAACTGCATCAAGCAAAGTACCGTAGAATTTTTAATGGTCGGCTGTGTCCTACTGCGGTCTTTTGACTTATTTCTGTTTTTTTTTTTTTTACAGTTTCAACATAATAACAATTGAAGGTTTTTTTTACGAGATACCGTTATTACACTACTGCTCTATTACTCTAGTTATTTATTTATTTATTTATTTGCATTTTTTGTTTCTTTTTATTGCAGTTTTTGGGCATAATTTGTTTGGCATGCGGATCACCTGCCCTTCTAGCAGCAACGTCATTCTTCTTATTTGTTGTAGTTGTTGCATTCATTGCTACATTATTATGGATTTTCGCCTACTTATTGGGCATACGAGAGGCTCTTAATTTGGCCGTTAATTGGATTTTTACGGTATGCTTTAATAAACATAAATTAAAAATAGAATTTTAACTATGCGTTAATCGTCTACCTTAGTAATTACCATTATTAATAAAAAAAAAAAAATAAATAAATAAATAACAAAAAAAAAAAAAAAAAAATTAACACAAACACATTGAATATAGCATGGATTAGAAAGAATGATTGGCATGACTACACAGCAAGCCCAGTTAAGTAAAGCAATGAAAATATGTTGTTGGCTAAAGGCAGCCAACAACCTGCATTCATTACGGTATTCTCTTACGATTGTAATGCTTAAGCAATTGCGGTTCTTTAACCGGTTTCTTATGCATGACCAAAGCCAGCTATCGACCACAAGCTTGAACAAGCAGACAGATCGCCATAAGGAAAGACAGATAGAGATAGAGAGAGAGAGAGAGAGAGAGAGAGAGAGAGGGAGAAAGATTAAGAATTTTAAAACTGGGTCTGTACGGTGTGTTTCATTTTTAGCTTTTCATTTAATTGTAACGATGTGAATTAAACTAAAATACGATACGCGACCGATTCTTACGTTTATTCATAAACTTGTTTCAAAATGATTTTTACATCCAAAAATAAAAAATAGGAATACGTAGGTACTAATTATGTCAGTCATTTTTCCCCCCTTTTTTTTTTCTTTTGTTATGGCAAAGCAAATTCGTTAAAGCAAAGGTTCGTCAGCTTAAAGGTGTATTGTGCCTCTTTGAGAAGAAAAAGTTGCTCTGCGTTTTCTCTCCACCTAAAAGTTTTTTCTTAAGCAAAGTTAGCGTTGCTTTTACTTATCAACAATCTTTTGAGAGATGAAACTTCAAATTCTAATTTGTAATCAGACTCAAGCCTTAGGTTAATAAGAAGAAAATTTATTTTACCTGCTCTGTGCCACCGAATGATTGCTATTCTCATCGGTTAGGAAATCTCTGCTGCTATCGAAAGTGTGTCAATTAGTCTCAATAGCAGACTTCCTTTGAATATGTCCGTCTGTCATGCTCTTAATAAGACTAATTTTCACTCGCTCTATTTAGAAAAGAATCCATTATAGATTTACGATTCCTGCTTCTCAATCGACTATCATCGATTTTTGCACTCTACACTACATGCGAATATAATAAGCTTGTGACGATGTGTACAACATCCAGAAGAATTTCAGATAGAACTATCTTTCATTAGACCGATTGATTCCGAAGATAATTGTGGATCGTGTCTTTTGTGGAGCTTGTCTTTTTGTCTGCCCGTCTTGTATTCGTGTATTCAACGTACATGTCGCAAAACGATAAACGAAGCCAAAAACGAAAGCCATTAAAAACGGTTCCCATTGGACCATATTTTCGATCACCTACCATATAATGCCTTGCTTTGGATAGTCGCCACATCTGCAACTGTATGAAGCGAAGCGAGATGTAGAATGTTTAATAGTGGTATAGGAATCATTACAGTGATTTCTACACTTGATTTTTTTTTTTTTTCTTTGTTATTATTGGTTAGCCAGCGACTCAAGGTATTCCGATTCTCCTCAGATCAGCTTTTACAATAAACTACAGATTTGATAACGGTTGGGGGGGGGGGGGGGCGGGGCCTTATAGGTGAGACAAAGGGCCAACCACATCCTTGACTACGAAAAGGAAGACGCCTCACTGGCTCAATTTTTTTTCTTTTTTTGTTTCCTGCCTCGCATTTAAAGGGTGTTTTTAATCGGATTTTCCCACAGCAATACTGCACAAGCTTACGCACATATATGTGTGTGAGAACTGAAATATCCACTCCCAGTTGTCTGCCCTCTTGATCTAATAGTTCCTTCCTTATACTATGTCCCGGTTTGTATTAACTGCATTGCTCCGCGGTTGCACACGTTGCGCTTTCAACCTTAAATGAGCTTGAACGACTACGGGCTTTAATGCTTGCAAATCAATTGGACTGTAGAGAAGACCTATCTAAGTTCTCTACCATATTCTTCAGTTGCCCTTATTCACTAACTTCACTATCACTTGTTGACCTATCATGCAATACCCAGTAGTTTTTGCAAATTTATGATTTATGTGGATTTTTCGATAGCATGTATTTCTTAACCTTTTTGGAGGTAAAATAGCGTGAACAAGGTGCAGAGATGTATCATCATCAAAGCCGTCATCGGCACTCCGTATTCAATAGTGTCCGTAGATTGCCTTTCCGCCTAATATTGTTAATGCAAATATTGAAACCGTTTCAAACCAAGTCAACCAAATACATTACACGGCCGATGACGATTTGCACGGCTTCTCTCTTCTTTTTTTTCGAACATAAGTAATCGGTCAGTCGTGTAATGCGGTGACTTGTCATCGTGGTTAGAAAGAAATGACGGAAGACAAAAGAAAGGTAGGGAGATGGTCACCGCAGTCTAGCAGGTGTGTTCCCACTCGGTACTGAGCACTCACTGTAGCTGCGATCAAAGTAAACTGTACCGCGCTTGAGATTTGGACCTGCGACTACTGACTTTGCAATCGAGATTTTTATCTACTTACTACGTTATTGTACGATATCATCCCTACCCGCCCCATGCCATGTGCATGCCATGTTTGCTTTGTCGCTATCGTAATTCAAGTAAGTAAGCTCGTTTCGTTCGCTTAGTTAGGCAGTCAGCTTGCCTTTCCAAACTATTATATGTAAAGTTTGAGCAAAATATCGTATTTGCTTTAAAGAAAGCGTCTTCCGAGACACTTGTGGATATCGAAATGTTCGATTGCAGGCGAATGTTCTCATCTTTCAATTCTTCATTTCTTTTTTTTTTTTTTTGCTTTTTTCCTCATTTCTTTATTGATTAATTACTTTCAATGAATTAGTTAATTAATTGAATTCATTTGATATTTTTATTAATTTAGGAACTTCTTAACACCGGCATCGTAACAATTTTATATTTTATCGCATCTGTGGTGCAATTGGCCAAATGGACAGCATATTTCAATAGTTATGGTTATGGTGCCAATATAGCGGCCGGTGTATTTGGTTTATTCAATTTTTTGGCTTACGCTGCTGGCACTTACTTCCTGTATCTGGAGCATAAGAGTGGCGCTACAATTTAGTCAAGTAATTAAAATAAAATCATTGAAATCAGTAAACAATGCAACGACAGCATAAATAAATTTACTCGACCGCAGCACATTAACTTTTAGAAAACCGCCACCATATGCACCATCCTTAATAAGCAAGAAGAAGAGAAAACAATATGTTTAAGGCGAACCAAAAAAAGTTTACCTTCAAGATGGTTTCATCAATTTCACAATATCCGCCGGGTCGCGCGTGTAATTAGTCAACTAAAGCTAAAGGAAATTTAAGCAAATTAACAAAACAAAAATTACAAAATATTTACCGATTAAGTTATAAAATTTAATTTAATAAAAATGTGTTTTAATTGCATTTTTCCATTTTCTTTCTCTTTTTTTTTTTGTGCTTTCTTTCTTTTAAATTTTATATTTCTCCTTTCTGTCGCGTTTTTTTCCTTAATATCATAGTATTTTGTTGTATTATATATTTTTAACCTTTTTTCTTTTTTTTTTTTTTTTTTTTTTTATTCAAATGTTTTTAGTTTTAATTTTAATTCATTTTGTTTTCGTTTTGTTTTTTTTTTTTTTTTTTTTTTTATTAACTCAAGAACAAACAAACAAACAAACCATACAATATTTGTTAATATTTATTAAATATAAAAAAAGTAAATATATGTTTTTATATTTTTTAATGAGTACGAAAAATTGCAAAAAAACGCACGCACACACAAACACATACACATACAATTACAAATTAATAATAAAATATTTTAATTCAGTTATTCTTTTGTAATTTAATAAAAATACCAAAAACTAAAAAACGTCTTATGTTTCATGATATTTATAGTAAGGCATGTTAAGACTTACGGGCATAATGTTGTGCTGTGATTGATCACTAGTCATAAAAGAAAACAATGTATATTCTTCTTATCCTTTTCGAATTTGTATTAAACGTGATATTCGGTAACTATTTGGAATATGGAGATCATAAATATCAAGTTTATTATAGTGGGTCACGATACACTAACAAATACTCTATAGCACTTCGCCTCCTATCTAATTATTAATATAAGGATTTCCCGAAATAAAGTGTTTTATGGGAAATGGTAAGAAAAGTGGTCCGGTCCAAACCATTTTCAATGGCTTTCGTCCATTTCATCGAAATATTTCAAAAATTGCGACCTGTAGGCTTAACACAAGAAAAACAAGCAGACAAGCTTAAATCGATTCAACAAGTAATTCTGAATGGTTCGATATCATCAAAGTTGAAACTATTTTAAGTCGTGCTAAGTCTTGGATACATCCGCCATATCTTATGAATATATATACTGTATGAGAATATATACTGTATGTTAAGCTATATAGCAAATAATTATAAATATGTCTTAGCAAAGATGTAAGTAGAAATAATTTTTTAGCGAGGTACACAACCTCAAAAAATTTCACAGCGCAGTAAAATTTTATATGATGGATGCACTATCTAGCCAATGACGACAAAGTTTATCAGTGTGTAAGAGCAGAATTTTGGACACAAACCCAAATAGAATTGAGAAAAATGGAATGGAGTATTTTGAAATCAATTTTACTTACACTTATAATACTTTATTTTAGTGGCATACATGGAATATTAATAAATAAATAAATTATCGAAATATTGCAAATTGAAAATACGAAAATTTCAATTTATTTGATAAGCAGTGCTAGCTTTTAATCTAAAAATTCGAATTACGAGCTTCACCGACTATATTGCGTCTATAAGTGTTTTAAGTATTTTCTATATGCATATGAACAATTTCAATTAAAAATTGATTTTTTTAGCGAAACAGGCAAAGCAATGTATCTTGTTTTCATGTTTCTTCTCTTTATGGAACGATGTGGGAGAGATATTCATTGATTACAAAAGCGAGTAACTTGGATCAATTCCATCTTGTTTGCTCGCTTTTCTTAATTCATTTATATTCCGCAAAGTAGGCGCTTTTCGGTTATCTTTACAAAAATCGAAATAAATTTTTTCTCTCCGAAATAGAATTTTATTCTCAGCACCATTTTGCTCCTTCATAAGAAGCGCATAGCAAAGTGAAGTAAATACTTGCCAAGAAATAAAATTTGCTTTGTATGTTTGTGTTGCATTTCAAACTAAACAATTTTCAATTTAGAATTTTTCTTTTTTTTTAATACATATTTATTTGCAAACCAATTTTTTTTTTTATATTTTTATATATGATCATCTTTCACATCGAAGCCGCGATTGCCGGGACCACCTATATCTTCCTTAATAACATGAGACGGAGGAGGGGGAAGTTTTTATTATTCCTTTTCACTGTAATTAATTTAATATATATATAATGATGAGAGCAATGATTTTTGAGAATGAGCGCGAAGTTATCAAATAATACAGAGTTGCAAATTTAAGGAATACAGATTCGTGTTTTTGCACAATTTTTTACTCATAATATAGTTTTATATTGGTTTTCAGGAAATTGTATTGAAAATTACATATAAAAGCATTTGTCAATGATTTTTGTATTTAAAATTAGATACCGCCCCTTGTTCCTAATATTCTCAAGTAATCTGTGACATTTTTAATTTTAATTTATATATATGCAGGGTTTTTAAAATCAATCTTTTTTTCAACAGATTTTCTTCTATTATATTTGTATGTTATGGGTACCAAGTCACATCCGTTTACTGGGAAATGAGCAGGCGGATTTAGCGGCAAAGTATGCTGTTTCTGCTCCTCTAATTATGGATGATGTCATGGAAAAGTTGGATCTTCAAAGATACATTGGAAGAAAAGTTAAAGAGAAAATTGCAGAAGGAAATTTACAATATCATCATGAACACTACTCTTGCATTAACCCTCAATTAACTCCACCTCTATATCCAACAAATGTTGAGAAAACCAAGATCCAAACATTTTCGAGAATTCGCCTTGGTCATACAATTGCAACTCACCAATGGATCCTGAAGAATTCTTCTCCCCCAATCTGCTGTTGTGGACAAACTCTTACTATAAAGCACATTCTCTGCGACTGCCTCAACTTTTCCTTGGCTAGAAGTATTGCATTTGGAACGATTAACCTTTTGAACATTCTACAATCAGCTTCAGAACAGAATATCAATTCAATATTTTACTTTATTAATACTACTAAGCTTATTATCTAATATCCATTTATTTAAATTAGAGCCGATAGCCTGTGTTGCTAGTGCTCAATGTCTCTTTTTTTTTAGTCTAAGAATTCAATTCATTAGTCTAAAATTAAAATAATAATAATAATAATAATAATAATATATTTGTAATTCTGTACTATGCACGCTTTTCTATCTATTATCATGAATATATTAATACCAGAATTACAAGAATACTAAAAATGATTCGACATGAAATGCTTTAATCGGGCTTGCTGAAATATAATAAAAGAAAAGCTGTTATTTGCTTAAGAGTACATTAAAGAATCAGGTGTTTTAGCTGTATAATTACAGATATGTTTTATGTCTTCTTCTTCTTCTGATATTTAGCAAAGCAACATTCGCAGATTCGTTGTGATGTATTTTATATTAAATAAAATTGATATAAACGAAAAAAACAATTGTGAACAATAGATGGCGTTAACGTTATTGTATAAGTATTCATTTTTATTGACAACGAAACTCTCGTTTGTCATTATTTTATGTTTCTTTAATAAAATTAAAAATTTAGAAAAGAGCGTATATTTTGTAAGATTTTTATAAAATTTAAAATTTACTTTATTTCACTAAGGAAATAAAAACCTTGCAAATTGTTTATTAGCTTAACATTTGTTAAGCAAATGCGAAAGTTAAGTGTGCATCGGGCGACCGAAAACTTAAAAAGATAACAATTGTTGTCCAACGCAATTTTTTTTTTAGTGGTGGTTCAAATTGAAAAACAGAAAAGAAAGGAAAAGGGGAGAGAAACGATATTAAAATACATAAAAGACAAGTTTTCTGGTAGCTCCCGGTGGTGGTGATAACACTGAAACAGAAATGGTGAGTAATTTTCCTAAAAGTTCTGGTTTATCGTTATTCTTTCATATATGACTTTCTATTGTTATTGTTGCTATGATTATTGTTTTCTTTTTGTTTTTTTCGGCAAAACAGTCTTCCCCGTTTGCGGTGGTTGAGTCGTTGTTACATGAATTCTATACACCGACCACACCTAACGCGCGTAAACGCGAAATAGAGGTTGAGTTGTTAGCATTTAAAAATCAATCGGAATCCTGGAAAACCTGCCTTAGTGCGGTGAGCAATGCTACGACCTTTGAACAGAATCACTTTTTATGGTTTTTTGCTACGTCTACTTTGGATCACACCATAACGCGCCGTTGGATGCAATTGGGCAGCTCAGATAGGGCACTTCTACGTGAAACGTTATGGCACACATATGCTAACTTAGCTTGCGCATCAGCAAAACGCCAGCGCGACACTTACGCTCAGTTAATAGCTTTATTGGGAAAACGCCAATTTCCCGACGAAGATCCAAACTATTTGGCGCATTGCATAGCTCTTACGAAAACCAATTTTTCATTAGGCATTTGCTTACTGCGTACAACGTCTGAGGAGGTAGTTAGCAGTCGTGAAGATGTCAGTACAGATCGTAAGCAATACTTTCATTCCTGGTGAGTGCCTTAAAATGCTATTTAATGCTTTTTGCCTGTCTGTGTTACAATGTTAACAATAAATAAACTTAATATTAAATGTTGTTTAAGCGTTTCTATATGTTTACCCGAAGTTACGGATTTACTAACCAAATACTTACTAATCGCTGTGTGTCATATCAATGGTAAAGATATCCATTCCATACCCAGTACGCTCATGGATTATAATCTAATAACCTCGCTGCCCAATGACAATCAATTAAGGTAAAAATCAACGTGAAAATTATAAAATTCGTCTAAGGGCGAATTTTGCATACCCACTACCATGGATAAATACATGAGTGAAAACATAATTTTCCACTTAACTATGTCTAGGTAATTAATACTACTTTTTAAATATTATTTAAAACGTAAACGTGAAAAGATGTCAGTTGCTACTGACTAAATATTTGCGCTTTTTGGGAATTCCAACCAAGTATATTATATGTACGAAGGAACGGGGAGATAGACATTCTTAAGTAAACTGAGAACCTGTCTCGGCTCTGATCAAACATATACCTTATGCGTTTTGTTATGTACTGCAAACGAAAGACATAAATTGATTTACCGCCTTTTCCCGGTGGTGGTGGGTAGAAAACTGTAACTTAATTTGCGATGGAATTTTTGTCTCTTAACACTTTATTTTTCTTTAATCTCCATTAGTAACTCCATTTTGGAGTTCTTATCTTGTGTGCAACATTTGG